GTCGGTTATCCGAAGGAATTCCAGTCGACAAATTTAAATTTTCGCCAGTGCTGTGGCGCTGTAATCTTTGGCTATGTCTTCAGCTACTCAAATATTTTACGGTTTTGATACTAAATTAACTTCTGAAGTATAATTTTTTATTGTTTTTATATTTTTCAATATATTTATTTTGTTTGTACAAAATAAAAAAAAAATTTTTAACGATACAATAGTCTTCGTTAGGCTTAACATCGACGAAAATTCAATGCGAAGCGACACGCAATGGAGAAAAATTTCAACACGGGATAAATTAATATATTTTTTCGTACATAATTGGTTATCCGAAAAATAAGTTATCTGAACAACCCCAGTCCCCAATTGATTCGGATAAACAACGCTCTACTGTACCAAAAAAATTGCAATAGGTATAACTTTTTTCTCCAGAGAAAAAATTTTTTTTTTGTAGAACAGTGTTATCATCTAATTATTTTTTTAAAAGTTCCTTTTAAAAGTAAGAGTTGTGCTTAAATTCAAAATAATACAGTAAATGTATATATTTAAGTGACAAATTATATATCGTCTGGTATAAATTACATAAGCTAATAACCAGATAACTATCATGTATACTCTCTGCAGATATTTTATAACAATATAAACATGATATTTTAATGCAAAAATTATCAAAAAAATTTGAATATTTCAGTTTTATCTAATCACAATTGATTTAAAGAAACTTAATATTAACATTTTATGTACAAATTATATTACATACTGTCTGTCCTTTTTGCATACCGAGTGCATAGAAAATATTGAACAATCCAAGACAATAAGGAAGTGAAGGAGTCACTATTCTGATGAGACATTTAAGTCTTGTAAAAACATTTTATCTTATAAAATATTGACTCCTTCACTTCCTTAGCAAGTTGGATTGTTTAACCTTTAGAGGACCAGGGGTCACGACTGGTCGTTACCCCCCCTTTTTCATAAAGACGACAAGGTATCGACTGGTCGTTACCCTAATAAAAATCGGTTTTAATGAAAATTTTTGGCAACAGATGCCACCACTTGACGGTAGTGTGTTGTCTACCATCTGTTTCACATATTTGTGTCCAGGTGGTGTTTTGTCGACTGAAAAATTTTTATTTAGCGATTTTTTTTTTAATTTAAATATTTTTTCATTTATTTTATAGCATATTTACGTAATAATATTACTAAAATACGTTTATTCATGCTATAATAAGTTTATTTAGTTATAATAAATCAATGTATGATAAATATTTAAATTGTGACCTTCAATTTTGATATTTATAAATTTTTTTAATTTTTTATTTTTTAATTAATTTAAAAATATTAGCCCATCGTAAATGTATTACTAGTAGTCTATATATTTATCACAATAATTTATATTATTGTTCAAAATAAAATGAATAAAGAATATTAGTTCGTAATACGCATCGATAGCAAAATAAAGGTTAGATTCCAAACAAAGGATATATTATAATCTGTGATAATTTTAAAACTAAAAATCGTACATTCATAAATGTTATATAGAATTGTACAGAACAATATTTCAAGTCGTTCTGGCTTAGTGCCAAGAACAAACTACTTAACTGGAGTATGTGAATTTTAAAAAAATGTTGCAAATTTTCACAGACAGATGTCAGGTCTGAAATATTTTAATTTTTTTTTTATTGAAGTTTATATTTACATGTATTTAAAAATATCGGATTTATAACTACAGATATTAATAAATGTAACGTAATTTTTGTCATATGAATATAACGATAAATTGATTTTTGGTGAATTTTTAAAGTAATAAAACATGTCTGACCTTGTTTGACCTATATTGCCCTTTGTCATGTTAAACAATGAACGTAAACAGGGGGGGCGGGGCAAGCTAGTCCTCTAAAGGTTAATGATAAAACCAAATTACTCTTATATAACCTCCAAATTTACTAGAAAAGACAAAATGTTGATAAATTTTAAATTACTTTGAAATATTATAACTTAACTACTTCAATTAAACTACTATTTAACTGAAGTATTCATTGAAGTTCAAATTAATTTTGCAGTTAATTAAATAAAAGATCATTAAATTAATTCTCATAATACATACTTTAACTGGAGATATTTCTTCTGACTGAGGTTCAACGTCAGAAATTTCATTTTCATCTACTCCACTGCTGTCAGATTCTGAGTCACTTTCACCTTTTTCTGGTTTGAATTCTTCATCTTCTGAATCATCATCATCAAATTCAGAAATTAACCTTCGACGTTTCCTTGCTGGTTCTGAATCTGAATGGCCCTAAATAAACATAGATTAAATATATTTGTTTCTAATACAATGTATTTATAAAGTACACATCTATTTCAGTGAAAACATGGTAAAATGGTTTTTATTGATTTTTATAACAGAACTCTATCAGAATAAACATAAGAAAATGCAATAGTAGTATTGTAATATTACTTATTAAAGGAAAATAATACAACAAAATTAGAGAGAAGCTTGAAAAATTTCCCAAACCAGGTCCTAAAAATTACACAATATGGAAATAGCTGAATAAATTCAATCATTTGCATACTGTCTTACCTATAGACCTGATTTACGTGATCTCAGATCATTATTAACAGATTCTATTCTTTTGAATAAATTTAAAAGACTGGATCCTGTTAATGAGTTGAAATTCAGATATCCATATATATGCAATAAATATGCTATAAAATTCTATCATGAAAGAACTACACGTGTCAATTCATGCCATGTATATCAGTGATGGCCAAGTGATGCCATGTGACCAGTGATTGTTAGCCTGTGAGCCAAGATCCAACCTTTTAAGCCATTGCATTATTTCTCTAATTACTATACACCTATGGAATATTGTAAATTTGTATAAGCATCACAATATTTCATAGTTGCAATCAAATGACAACTATCAAAGAGTGTCTACACATAAAGATCCACAAATTTGTGAGCTATCTTAAGTAATAAGCAAAATACAATGTAATTTATTCTAGCGATAAAAAGATTTAAATTAAATACATATATCTAATAAGCTATATGTATTGATTTTATGCTGAGAAATTTGAATATAGTAGTAAGTCTTACACACTTTGTATTACATATAACCACCAATTTATGCTAAAAACCTCAAAATCACCTTCAAGTCAGAAACCATAGCTTCCAATGTAAACTGATATGTATAAGTGCTGATCAAGAGATGAAAACTTATGCATTTTCATCATTACATGTAACTAGTTTAAATTAATTTACTGGCCAGTTGCAAGGAGGACGATACCACGAGACTTGCCCAGTTTTGACAGAACCGCTCTTGGATCCAAGTGGTCTAATTTTGAGAAATTTTTAATATTTTCATTAAAAATAACAAACTAGCATCATTTTAAAATTATTTTGCTTTATACTTATTGTGAATATTAAATATCAAATAAAACAATTGTCTTCTTTTCTTATTTCCATTCCTAAAATAAGTATTCAAAATTCTGGTCCCTCGATAATTCACAAGTTAATTTCTGGCCCTCGTCCATTTTAAAGTTGGCCATCACTGATGTGGGTACAGGCTGTCCATCTCAACTGTTCACACAATTTTGAAATTATCTAATTCTTAGATATTGAATACATGTATATCTTTTATTTGTTAATTAAATTTAACAGAGTTAGCACTAACATTACTTTTCTGAAACTGAGAGAGACTTTATAAATATCCTACATAAAAATAAAAGCTATTATTTTATTAAAAATGTGTTTACATTTTCTAGGGAAACGTTCTGATCTTCATCCATATGTTCAACACCATCTGAAAATAGTGCAATATTTTTAAATGAAAATTATATAATACTTTATTTAAAAGTACACAGATTTAATCAACAAACCTGCACTTTTATCCAAATCTTCAATTTCTGATTCTTCTGATGTGTCTAAGCAAACTACTAACTGATTTCTCTCTTCTGCTGGCATATTAAATGCCTTCGTAGCACTTTCTAGACCTTTCTTCCATACTGGGTCTTTAAATTTTGGATTATCTATGTCTTCTGGACCAGTAAATGGTTTTAAATCCCTTTTAAAATAGAAAAATTGAGATCATAAATTATATTTAAGCTACAAATTGTTATTAATGCTTACTTTATTTTTATCCAAGCTCTGGATGGGGGATCATCAAAAAACTGAACGTGCACGTAACTTGTCCTTCGAAATTCATGATGTATGCCCCTCTTTGGATGATTACAGACTAAACTTGGCCACCATGGATAACCTTCTAATTTTGCCCAAACTATTGCATACAAACTGTATGGACATTCTTAAGGAAAGAAAAATTTTTAATATAAAATTTAGTAAATAAAAATATATTATTATATCAAATTTAATTATAAATACCACTTAAATGTATATCTTATATAAAACATCTGCTAATTACTATCATCATTTGTTGAGGAGCTTATTTCCAAATGGACATAAGTGCCAAATTTGTGATATTTTAACTAATATTACGCATTACAAGCTCTACTATTTATGTAATAAGTTGTGTGTCAAACAGACCCACATACAGTAAGAAAAACATCCTCTAATTTATGTTTTGTTTACAAATGGACATACAGTGGAACCTCGGTATACGACCTTAATCCGTTCCTGATGTTTGGACTTATACCGAATAGGACGTATACCAAACCAACCTTTCCCATAAGAAGTAATGTAAAAATGATTAATCCGTTCTCAATTTTAAAAAAGTGGCTGGCTTTAAACATCTCGCTTTCCTTGCTAGTTCCTGCTTGAGATCAGCGTGTACCTTTTTAGCTTTCTTGCAAATAATTGCTTTTGATACGCTGTCACCAGCACACTGTTTTTCAGTTATCTAAAGCAAAAGCAATTTCTCGACACGATCTAATGTCTTCGATCTATGTGTAGAAATTGATTTAACCCCTTTTGCAACGTTAGCAAATTTAATAATGTCTTTATTTTTCACGATTGTCGGTATCGTCGTTCTCGGAATACGGTATGCAACAGTTAAATCTTGAACAGGCGTGCCACCTTCATATTTCTCAACAATTTCTTTTTTTCAGTTCCATTGTGATTTTAGTCATTTTTTTTCTCTTCCCTTTTTGCAATTCATGATTAATAAAAATAATAACATTTTACTTACAAATTAAAATAAAAAGAAATTTAACAAAGTTATAAACTGTGGCACTGCGAACGTCTAGTCTAGTATAATACACTGATAGTGCTACTTGTTCATAGATGGCGCGTATAATTGAATTAAGTCGTATACCGAGCAAAATTTGTTTCGTCCAAACAGGACGTATTCCGAATTGGACGTATTCTAAAGCAGACTTATACCGAGGTTTCACTGTATATCCTTTCTACTGTAGTCCTAAATGGATATAACTGTACATATATATAACCAATGTGATAGAACGATTATGTCACACGACTGTACATGGCTGCTTGTAAATTAAAGGCTGCACAATTACATAGTAAGAATGTCGTTGATGTTGTAAATTTTTAAAGAAATAACCAGTTATTTAAAATTAGAATTATTTTAAATATTGTGTTATTGTATAGTAAGGGTTATTAGTAGTTCAGAAGAGAAAGCAGTGATATTGTTTGAAGAAGGGAAAAGTAGAAAAACAAAAAGAAATCCCACTAACAAACTTTCCCCACAGATTCGGATGACTGTAGCCTCATCTTGAAGTACCTTGAATGAACTGTCTGATTTATAGGCTGCCACATCATATGATTTGGTTTGGAAGAGAAGGGTCTGAGAGGGAGTGATTTATTAACATTATATTTATGTTCTTTCAAGTGTGCATTTAATGCTCATAAGGTTGCTCCTACATATATTATTATTATTATTATTGACTTAATATAATATATTAAGTCATGTGCAATTCTTTTATCTCTGATGAGTACTGTATATACACCCAAATGCTCATGGGTCCAATGGGCCTTTGTCATTCTGCAGGAATTGATAAACTGTAAAATTCCTTTTAAACAATACTCTCCTTTCTGTATTTCTCCTGATTTCCTAAAATGTTTGAAAGAGGATGATAATATCAGATTACTCTATAGTCTCTTTTAGAGATGTCCCTTATCCAAATTTGGGATGTACTGAAGTCATCAATGAATATTTATATGGTCCTATGATTATAATTAACGCTGGACTGCTTCCAAGGAAGCACCTGCACCCCAGCATCATCAAAATATGTGATTTCTCACCAATAAATACATATGAATTTATGAGCACTTCAGTAGTTTCATATTGTGTGCCACATTTGAAAAATTTTTATTGTTTTGCATTTTTTACAATATCATTATGTTTCATATTCTAGTATGCATCATTTTCAACCACAACTGATGCACTAATGAATGGTTTCCTTTTACTGGAGCATCTAATAACCTAACAAGATAACAGAAATAAACAGTGCTATATCAGTTTTGTACAGTTATTTTGTCAAAGTAACTTTGGGTTAATACAGATGAGTAGTAAACATAATGTTAATAATATAAACATGGAGGCATAGGCATCCATATTGCTTCATCAGGACTCACTATGAGTGCATTCTTTTATTCCACCACATAACTCCATGCGAGCAGCATCTATTTAAAAATTCCCGCAGAACGCATTCCTATATTCTGGCCAGAGTGTGCACTATTGGATGACAAAAACAGTCGCTCATAGTAGTAGCTTACAGTTGAAAGCAATACGATGTCCTCCATGGCTCAGATAGTTTTGTTTCAGCATCCAATATGTGATTTTATAAATGAAAATGTAGAAGTTGTGAAAGCACATGTTAGTGCACATGACGCTGTGTCATCTTGATTTTTTTCAAATAAAAGCCAACATTCTAATTTTTTTCATGGCTACTTTGAATGCTCTGTTGGCAAGACAATCCGTCTTATGGTTAAATTTTACAATCGGGACTCTTCTTTTAAGTTTTGTCTCTAAAAAATGCATATTTTAAAATCATAGATCCCTCCAACACAATACCACAGACCAGCGATTTCCAAACTTTTTCGATCCACCGCACCTTTGTTCCATAAAGTTACAATCAATGCCCCCTAACTCATTTTCCCTTACGTGAGAAGACTTGAAAATATTCTTAAAAAATCTTTTCTATGAACCTCACACTTTGTGTCCTTACCATGCATTGTTCTCAACATCTGAAAACCATTAATGCAATATTTAACAGAGGAATGGAAAAGATTGTTAGTGACCACATTTGCCTACAGTCACCATTCGATATCCTGCCTCCAGCACCCCATTTCTATTCACTCCCCTAGATTTAGGGTGCGAGTATGCAGACACGAGAAAGTGAATTTTCTGAGCGAGCAAAAGTATGTGGCGAGAAGAGGCGATGACATTTCATGCTCTCTGTTTCTCGTTCTCGTCTCTGTGGTCATAATAAACGAGAGCAAGAAACAGAGAGCGTGAAACGTCATCGCCTCGCTCGCATCTGCATAGTTGGACCCTTACTCACCACCCAAAGAGGGGGCAGTAGCACCCACTTTGGAAACCATTGCCATAGACAGTAAGGGCATCACCATCTTTTTCTTTCTTTCACCATCATTCCTAAATTCATACAAACGGCAGCACACTCCCATAGTAGCAGAGACACAGAGCAACTGCCATTAACGAACGCACCCCACATCCACAGCCCAATGTATTAAACAGCACACCAATGGTTGCACTGGTGCACTGTTTAATACATACTGGAATGTACCTAATGTAAATTATACAGTAAATATTCAGTGGCATCTGTTGGTAACCATATTGAAAATAAAGTAGTATAAAAAAAACTTATACAGACAGGCAACAATTGTTTAAAATATAAAAGACAATAAGAAGTTCTCGTCTGTTTCTAACCAACCTTTCACATTGTTTATTTTCTTTCTCTTTGGAGTGCCATCGGCAGATCCTTTCGAAGGCGTTTTACCGACTCTTGGAGATGATTTTGGACTATTTTTTCCATTAATCGACGGAGATTTAGAAAAGTAATTAAATAGAGTATTTTTCTTGTTCATTTTACACCAGACGACTTAAATTCCCTGTTTGGCGCTAAAATGTAGTACTCTAGCGGTCAATTTTTCTATACCGTTATAAAATCGTTATGGTAAAAATATTTTTAAAAATAAATTAAATTTTTACGTAATATTAATAATAGTACAGTTAGAATAAATAATAAAATATAATTTTTAATTTTGTTAAGGTTTTATAATTTTATGTACATTTTCTGCTTTTTTTTTATTTGACTTTTTGGACTGTCCATAAATTAAGTCCGCATTTTTCTTGAAATCTTTACTTTTTTTCCCTCCCTCCTCTTCGGACTTTCTAGAAAACTTGACTCCCCCTCAAAACTTTTGTCACTTTATGAATGATAAATACCATAAGTAGAAACGAAACATACAAGAAACTTTGAAATAAATATAATAAAATGCATAAACAGTAAAGTATAAAATTTAACTACGACAACACGCGAGGGGAGCAGGAAAGAAAGAAGCAATCCTTACGAATGTTAGGTACAGAAGAGGCTATCCTCATGCCTGTCGAAACAGAGAATCAAGCCGCCCCATTGTGGGCCTGGCCGAACCCTTAATGTGCTTGCTAAAAGAGGCCCTCTTAGCGCCAACAGAGCGGAAATAGTTTTAAAAAAACACACAGAGAAGCGAACAATGAACAAAACAATCGATGGAGATTGCTTTCTTCTTATGTTTCGTTCGTTTTTCGTGGTTAATTTCCATTATGCGCACGCAATGCTGTTTTCATTGTTGACCTCTAAGCCTGAATTCCAAGCTTAGGAGTAAAAAATAAGCAATCGAACAACAAACAAAAAATAAAAACAGCCTAAGTCTAAATTCCAGGTTCAGGCTGTTTTTAGTTTTGATTTCTAGGCTTTACTCTCAGCTATATTATTGTTTATTTATAGTGTGCTCGGGTCATTCTAATCTGTACTATGCTGTGCTTTGTTGATTTCTTCGGATAATTTTTTTTTCTTTTAAACAATATGTTCTTGTGTTTTTATTATAATTACAGTTTTTTTGTGAAAATGCTGTATTTACTATTAAATACTACATTTTGACATATGCCATGTTATGAACAACTTTGTTAAAGTTAATTAAAGTTCAAATCATTCTAAGAGGTAATAAGGAGCTAATACTTGTGGAAAATGCAGGGCTGTGGAGTCGGAGTCGGAGTCGGAGTCGTCAAAAAATCCGCCGACTCCGACTCCCTTTTTACTTACCAACTTGGAGTAAATACATGTGTATGAAACGGAGTCGGAGTCGGAGTCGGATGGTAAGGAAAAGTCGGAGTCGGAGTCGGAGTCGGAGTCGGTAGATTTTTTACGCGAATCCACAGCCCTGGGAAAATGGAACAAGTGTTGCATTGCCCATAAAAAATAGACAAAGAAAACATGCCAGTAAGTGAAAGAGACTGATATGTAGATACTGCACTATTAGGATGTGTGCAAATTGGGAACTAGGCCCTATATCTATCATTCCAGAGAACAAAAGAATATCAACATGAGCTAATCTTTCGTTCGACAATTGTCTAAAACTAATTTCATTAAATATCTTACCGGTAAGAATTATTAACATAGCTTTTTTTAAAAAATAAACTTATATTATCGTATTTTAAACTAGCAGCTTATGAAAAAATCTAGCAACCAGGTATGTAATTTTTCTGGTTGTTGTGAGATTTCATTTATAAAATGACTTTTTATATTTTTAATTATGATCGAATGACAGAAAGCTTAAGTTTGAGGGTAGTTATGACTTTTATAAAAAAAAAATTTATAAATGTGAATAAAGAATAACATCTTCATTAAGTCCTACCTCTCTCGAGATATGACAAGACTCTATCTGCCCATCCATTCAACCTTTAACAACCAAAATTTAATAGCATCAATGCTCTTTATACACAAGCTGTCATGTCAAATTTCGTTTCTTATAGATGCCAACATATACTTTTTGGGGGCTTTTTTAAATTTTTTTGCCCTGTGGGCACTAAGAGGGCCTCTTTTAGCAAACCCATTATGAGTTCGGCCACACCCATAACGGGGCGGGAGCTGAGGGACGGAGCCCGACATATCCAGACAGACCATCCCCGAAAAATTCCTGGGAATTTTTCGGCCCATCCGGATTCGATTCCGGGTCCTTCAGAGCGGTAGGCTGCCACCTTGACCGCTTTTTTGGGTTCAGGGATCTCAAAACGTGGAGATTCGCGAAAATGTCTGACTTGTGAGGATCAAAACTCCACCACTTTTCCTTGTTACGTATACATAACATCCGGGAAAGTAAAATTAAGTGTAACGAAATTATTACAAAAGTTGCTTCTAGCTCTTGGTATAATTATATTAATTAATTAAAGGCTGATTTTTCGGACGAATAAACCGAAATGCTATGTCCTTCGAATCCGACGTTCACCCGAGTTCATGATTTACTCAAAACTCGATTTGATACTCAGATATTTTATTTAAATGTATTTTGGATCGGAATTCTCGCCGATTCCTCTTTAGTCTATGAACAATAATGGTCGTTTAATTGAAAGCCACACGAGAGCCAACACTCTTTCAAGAAAGGCAACATTCTAAAATAAACCAAATTTACAGCAAAATGCAAATAATTTAATACTAATTTAGCTTTTATACAGAATTAACCATTTCAAGTATCTTATACTGCCATACGGCAGAGTTATCGCGGCCAGATAACGGCGTTTACCGAGAATCATCTCGGAGCGGAATCGCTATATTGCCAAAATTAGTTTACGTATGTTAATCAATGTCATATATATAACAATATGAAAACTTGTTTAAGAAGACCACAGAAGGCCGCACATCACGCTCCAAAAGGCCGCAGTTTCTCTACTCCTGTTCTAGTCTGTCTATATTCCTTTTATCTGTTGTACTACGTGTGTAAATTTTCTTTAACGCTGTAATAAAATTATTTTTATTATTTCAAGAGGACAATATGCGTTATACATGACAATATGACACATATTATCTTGAGACGGCCGGATGGCCGAGCGGTCAAGGAATTTTTCGGGGTGTGGTCCGACCGGATATGTCGGGCCCTCTTCCTCAGCACCCGGCCGCCCCATTATGGATGTGACCAAATTCATAATGGGCTTGCTAAAAGAGACCCTCTTACTTTTAACTGTATTTCTATATATATTGTAAATTATATTGAAAAATTCAATAAAATTTTAAATTAATTTTATTGTGGTCATTTATTTTTATATTTTAATCTATAATTAATAAATGACAATTTTTATATTGTTATATTACAGAATTACATTTTAAATAAGCCTGTATCCTTCATTCTAATTAAAATGATTATTTAAATTTATAATTAATAAAAAGCGCTTAAATACAATTATAACTAATTATTAATTAATATAATTAATNACATCCGGGAAAGTAAAAAAGTATGAAATTTTATCTTAAAAACGAGTTATAAATCGATGAATATTTTAATTACTTAAAAAATTAACTAACCACATTAAAATTTTAATAAAAAATAAGATTTACGTTAATCTGTAAACTAACTGGAAGAGTGTTAAAATATAGATACTTTATTCAAATTATTTAACTTTTAAAATATTCATCTTTTTAAAACGTTAACACCCATCCAAGATGGAAACGCCTTCATTCCTATTGGTCAATCCGCCCTACCTAAACAGAAGGTGTCATCCTCCTTCCTATTGGAGGACGTGGGAATTTAAACTCTCGAATCGAACAGGAAATGGATCTGTAATAACGAAATAAACATTCGAGACGTCAAAAACTGGTCGAATTATCATATCAGCCGAAACAATTCGAGTTAAACTTAAGTCGGGGAAGCGGAAAAATCATTTTAAACGACATTTACAGCAATTTAACTGTTTATGACGTCATGTGAGTATCATTCAAGAGGTCTAGCGTGACGACATTTTCGCGGGAAATACGATTTGGCGCCAAAAGAGGTTCTTTTGTGTGCAGGAAGAGAATAGATACAAGGAAACTTAATCCGTTAACATCCGCCAATAATCACAAAATGGATATGATATAATAGTTCATAACATTTAGTAAACTTTAGTTAGTTAATTAACAGATATCAGTTTTCATTAAAGACAGGATAAAAAAGATTTTTTTTTTTTTTTCTGGAATTAGGGATATTTTTATGAACGGACGTTGATGGTGTCATTGTCGAGAGATCTGATATGGCTAAGACCAAAGTGAACATGGGAATGACTTATAATTCGACCAGTTTGTCATCTTTGAACCAGGAGGGTTATCTTCTAACTCCTACGACAAAGACACCATCAACATCGTCGACGTTGAAACGTCAACAACCAACACCGACCATCTTAATGGACGAATATGGACAGACTCCAGATCATTACTATCTTGCTAGAAATCCAACCAAACCACCAGCTAACAGGAATCAGGTGAGTTTAGAAAAACGTTTTTACATATCAACGTGTAGGCTGTTACATGTTATTACATAATTTCTTGTTCTAATTTTATATATTTTCAAGGTTATTGCTGCTTCTTCATAAATTTTCTGCATTGTTTGGATCTTTAAAACTTGTTTACTTATTGATATTAGAATGATCTATATATATAAAAAAAAATTGGTGCTTCATTTTTAAATGGTAAATCAAGGAGTTGTATTATCATCTTAATTTAAAACACATTAATGGAATTTTCTGAGAAGCTGCATCAATTTCATTCATTTCATGTCAGAATTGGGATGGCTTCATTGGTTTGAAATGTGTTAAAAGAATCTGGGTAAAACTTCATTCTTCATTCTAATTCTTTCAAATATTCTTTTGATATAATAGATATATTCTTTTGTTTGATATATAAAGTGTGTGTAACTGAGAATTGTAATTATTTTTATGATCTTGGAGGGTTGATATTGAACAGATGTCTACTACATATCCTGTGAATCTTAGTGGGGTGTATTTATTTTTTTTTTATTCTCATATAAAAAGTAAATTCTTTTTTTCATTAACTTTGTAGCCTATTATATGAATTTTGAATCTGGAATGGTTCCTATCTTTAACGTGTTTTTCTCATAGAATTTATAAAGTGATTAATATATAAGCGAAAATTTTCCGATAAATCATTTAACGCTACTATTTAAATGGAATTTTCAAATTTTGAGTATTCTTTAGAACATAATATAATTGAAGGAAAATAATTAAAATTTTAATAATATTCAGAACTAATTAAATTTTTATTTCGATAATGATGCTACGTACAAAATTTTAATATTTAAAGTTGCGGAAAAATTTTTGAATAGGACTTCTACGTTTTATTTAGAAATTTAGCATTAGGATTTGAATAATTTAGAATTTTTAAAATTTACTTTATTATATAAACAATCCAAATTTTACTTTTTTATATATATTTATTTTATGATTTGCTATATAGGATTGGATAGAGGTGCCATCGCAATCGTTTGATTAGGGAAGAATCCCAAAATTTAGTCGTGTTTTTACATAAAACGATACAGAAGTGATACAGATTACATTTTCTTTTAATAAGTAGTAGAGAATTTTCTGTTTCGATTTTATTTGTGAACTTTAACTGGGTTGGAGCCTCGTACGACTGGCTCAGATCCCATCCTTACATTATTTAATAGGGGGGAAAAAACAATATATTTTATACATTTCTCATTGTTCAGTAGAAGTGTGCGTATTAATAAAACTACAAATGCATAAGAGAAATATGAAAGTTGAAGGGTTATTTGAAAAAGAAAAATTAATCTTTTAAGTGAATTTTTTTAAATCAAGTTAGTCAATTACATCTTATGATCGAAAATGTTATAATTCTATTTTATATTTTTTGTGTATTTTTTATTAAAAAATAATTTTAATTTAAGGGTCTTTAATGATATAAACGTCTATTCGTGCCGATTTATCATGATAATCGGTAATAATCATGATTTTTTTTTTCAGTCGCTTACTGAATAGCAAGAATGTGTATTACATAAACTAATTTCAGTTATAATTATTACAAATTTTTTAATATAATTTTGCCAGTTTACTTTTTATATCATCAAGAAGCACAGAGACATGTTTATTAAAATTAGATGGTTTGATAATTTTTTTCTTCTTTTTATCTAATCTAACAAAAATAATATCAATATAAAATACCGATATTTCATTATTTTTTTAGGAATTTTTGAAGTTAAGATAGTTTGCTTAGATATAAACTTTAAATTAATGATTAAATTTATTATTTTTAACCAAACTTTTCTGTGAGACGTTTCTTTTTGCTTCGATTTTTTTTTCAATAATGCTTTAATACTACAAAATACTATAAAACTTTTTGATTTATTCACTTATGACAATGTTTTTAAATATAATAATCTTTAACATTGTTTATATATGAGATATGTCTGTGGTAAGGTTCAATACTGTTATTCTGTTAACTTTGAGTGAAGAATGGATGATTTAGTTATTTAAATAAGAAAATATTGATTCTTTCTAAGGAAAAAATTATAATAGTGTTTGCTATGCTGCTATTTTAGATTCTAATTTGAATTATACAGATAAAATTTACACTAAACTGTAAGTCATCGCAATACTCGTAATATATTGGATTAAAACAAACAAAAGAACTGCCTCATAACAGATTTCATATAAAAGCAAACTTTATTAAGACCATTAGTTATAATTTTTGTTATTTTGTTGAATTCAGTTCTCATTTATCTTCAGCATCATTATATAAATTAATAGTTAAGATGGGAAGTGTTGAAGATAGTTGTTGAAATTTAAGTTAACAGAAAAGAAAGTAGTGTGTCTTAGTACCATAGAGTGGGAAGACAAATTGTCATTCTTCCAATTTGTCTTCAATGACTATCATCTGCCATTTTTAAGCTTTATACCTATAGAAATGTATTGTTTGAATTTGTTAACAGTTCTATTTAAATAGCTGATGATGGCTTCATGAAAGCTAAAGACGTTTCTGTAATAAGAGATTTTTTTGGTTTCCTTAATCCAGCAATGATTCGTAATATTTGTATGTTGAAAATTAGAAATGTACGTCAAACATTTTTAGAATAATAATCTCAAAAATTCAAAAAATTATTATATATATTCACTATTTTGAATTTATCCTCTTATTTGATCAGTAAACTATTATTTTGTACATATCATAAGAAAATATAATGAAATTTTCATTCATAATTTTATAGATGAAGAGTTTGCAATTAAAATTTCTTTATATTTGAATCTTTTTAATTTTCATGAAAATTTGTGAAATAAATATATGGGCAAAAGAGTGTTATCATATTTGAAGTTTTGTTTACAATATTTAGGTTTATAATTAATTAAAATTGATCAAGGAAATAGATAAATTTTGCAGTGGTATATGAATAAATGAAACACATTATTTAATTTAGGAAACTAAACAAATTAAATTGTTTTTTAGACAATTATATTAAGGTTTTATTATCCTTAACATATAAATATGCAAAATATAAGTTCAAGCCCAAGTTTAGGGGCAAGCAACATTTGTTTTATTCTGTTTAGAATTATTATGATGTTGTAATATATTGAGTGTATATATCTATAATATTGAGGATAGTTGTTAAAAAGTAAAATATATTCAGTTTATTATGTTTTTTCTTCCTGAGCTAGACAGTTATTTATATTAAAAAAATTATCTATGCAATGTTTTGAATAGTAATGGTTTCATATAGTAATGTATCCAAGTATCATTGTTGTTGCAGCTCGGCATATGAGGTTCGTACACCATAAAACATTAATAACCAAACCTAGATATTATTGTAAGGAGCAAATATCGGGAATAGATATGTGGATAAAATTACTCTCGTAGATAAGTCTAATAAGATTTACATACATACAGTATTTGAAAATTGTTGTAGATGGAAATATTTATAATTTTTCTGTAATTTGAGTGCACTTTACCTGAAAGATATTTACACAGATTTATAACAGATATTCTGTACTTTTATTGTTTTTATGTAATGTAATTAGTAAAGTCACAGTAGTTAACTTTGGAACTATAAATATTGAAAGCTGCATCATACACATAGCACTAAAGAAAAATGTACAGATTAGGCCTATTTGGTTTCTTTTGGAATTTTTCATATGATAGTTAAATCATTTTTGAAGTTAACGCACAATAAAATTCAAAAATTTGTAAATTTTATTACATTCAAACATCATTAAATATTTTAATGTTTTGATGTAGCTACATATATCAATTACCATTAATTAAATGCATATATTTATTTTCTGTTGCTATTTAGAGTGAAGCTATTTTAAGTTCAAAACAATTCATCTGTTAGCTATTTTACTGTAACTTGATAAAGTTCTTAGTTATACTAATTAAGTTTTGTAACATAATTTACATCACGTCATGTCAATTTTTGTATACAAAATTTAAATGTTTAAATTAAATTTTTGTTAATTAAATTAAATCATGTGTTTAATGTATAATGCAAGGGCCATGCTACATGGTTCCAAAATTGCCAAATGGAGATATTTTTTATTAAAGTGATGATTAAAATATAATACTGGTGACGAGAATCCTCGTCCTCTTATTTTGACATTCAGCATGAAATTGAATCGCAAAGCACATTTCGGGAAAATCGGCAGAATGTCGAGCTCCTGCGCGATCAGAATCCCATGCACGACATACGTAGAAATGTCATAACCTTACACCGCAAGTTAGGACAAGAAAGCAGGAAGTGATGTTGAGAACGAAAGGCAGATTTTGTGCAATACCACCCAGCGTTTCCAAATTCAGGATTGTTTTATTAACTGACTGAAAATTTGGGGAATTTTTCTGTGAGACGTTTCTTTTTGCTTCGATTTTTTTTTCAATAGACTAAAGTATAAAAATTTTGACATGACAGAATATATGAAATACTATTTAAGCATTGTGATCAAATGTGTTGTTCGAAATTATTTATTAAAACATTATAAAAAATGATTTCTATGTCTAAGTGATGGCTTAACATTTTATTTTTGCTTTCCAGACTCCAAATCGATAAGATTACTAGCACCTACATTAATTACTAAGTAAAACTGGTGGCGAAAAAAATTTAAAACTGGCAAAATAGGTGGCAATTTTTAAAAAAATTTTTAGAATGATTCCTATGTAATGAACTGTTAAATAAGTCAGCCAAAAATGTCTTTAAAATTTTGACATGTTAATAAAAACAAGTTACGTCTATCAATATTTGTTTTTACTTAATTTATTTTTAGTAAATACAATATTATTTAATCAAAATTTTTATTTTTTTTCTCTTTGTAATCAGCTGTGTTTTCCTAAAGTGACTGACCGTTACTTTGGAATTTTCATTCTTGATTTTTTTTTGATAATTATACTTAATTAAAAGATTATTTGTGATTACCACGAGCAATTATTATAAAAAAAAGTTGCGATATTTATGCAATTATTCTAT